TAGCAGCCATTTAATGAAATTGGTTTAGCTGTCCCTAACAGACAGCCTTATTTCCACTTTAGAAGCATCTGATTTGGCTCCCTTTGGCCTGCTCAGAATGGACATAAAGCAGAATTTAAGCAAGTTCACACAACCTTCTGAACCAAATGAATTAAATCCTTTTAACATCACATTTACATTAAACGCGTAACTCTCTTCCACAGGCCAGGGGAGTTGACAAGGGATTGCTTCGAGAACAGCTGGAACAAGTTAAGATCTTACTACCAGCAACATTTCAAACCAAGGCAGCTGAGTTTGCAGTGAGGCGGATTAGAAGCACTCACCTTATCTGCCAGCACAGCTCAGCCATAAACATCACAATCAGGAGCTGAAAAGCAGCCAGAAACACCTGGGTGCAGATTCAGGGGAAGATCCCTGTTCCAGCTACTCCTGATACTGTTACCTCATTAAAAGAAGGGAGGGCAATTTTAATTTCTAATCACTGAAGTCTTCTGAGCCTTCAAATCACTCACAGCTGGCATTGTTCCTACAAACTAAAACATAAAGAAGGCAACTTCGACTGAAAGCTGGGATTCTCCACTACAGCTGTGAGTGACCGAAAGGAAAGGCTGCAGTGAGTGACTCCCTGGACAGGTCTTTCTGCAGGTCCAACAAAGGAAAAAGATTAAAGACCATAAATCCACTAGACACATCCTCTACACCAGCTGACCTTACTTTGGGTCAGACCAGGGGACATTGTTAAGGCTGCAAAGACAAATTTTTCACTTTCTCAGCTACAGTTGCTCTTCTAGATTAATCTAGAATTAATCTAGATTAATCTGTAGAGCTGTCACCAGGCATCTTTTACAGGTATTAAATTATTTTAATTTTTCAAAAGGATGAAAATGCACCAATGCAGATCATGAGTCTGCATTTTGGCCTTCTTAAGCAAGGAATATTATCAGGAAAGAAAACTGCTGGAACCTCTTTGAACGGTGTGTTCTCTGTGAAGACCACCTTCAGAAGCAAAACCTGTAGGTGTTTTCCTCTTTCTTTCTCTAAAGACCCACAAAACACTCCAGCAAACAAAAGCCAAGGTTTATACTCAAAACATTATATTAAAAAAGCAATATAAATTAGATTTCCTATGGGCCTAGACTCTGTGCCAGTTTCTCATGATTGTAGGAATAATTTCAATGCCTATAAAGTAAATGTTAATAAACTGAAACTATCGCCTTTTAATCTTCATTTGTATTTTTTAAAGTTTAGATACTCTTTAATCTCTTCAGTAAGAAGTATCCTAAAGTAGAAAAGGAACTTAAACCTGGAAAGAGTTCATACTTTCATCATAAAAACATAGCCTTTTTCTTCCTTTTTTTATTTTTTTTTTTCCAATTTGGCAGGAATCAATATTGAAATGAGATTCCTACCAGAAAATAGCTTTTTCAGGCACACCAAATATCCCTTGGTTCAGCAGAATGTTTAATCCCCTTGGATCAGGCACTTGGATTTTCTTAGATCATGCTGAGATAACAGCATTCTGCTGTGTTCTGGCACCATAAAAATCCTTGCTTATGAAAATAAAAGAAAAATATGGCCTCTCCGGGAACATACATCTCTGCACTAGTTTTTTCCATAGTTTAGACGCTGTAGTCTCAAAATCAATTTTTACACTGATATACCGCATTCTCTTTATGAGTCATGGCAAAAGCTCTCCCGCACCACTCTTTCACGCGGGCCAAGTGCACACAGGACTCTTCAAAATGATGATGCTTTCGGAGTCTTGGCTCGGACTCCAGCTCACGCTGGGCAAGTGCCAGCGAGTAACTGGAGTCAAACCCCTCCGACAGCACCATCTAGTGAAAAAAAGAGAAAATAAACACATGCAAATTTAAACAGTTTTCACTGCATTCTGGAAACGAACAAAAGGCCAATTCTCTCCTAATCTCCCATTACAACTGCATTTAGGTATAGCTTTCATCAAGGCTCTTTGCCTCGTGAAGTGTGGTGACAAGCAGAGAAAGATTCAGCAGCTAATAGTGAGCTTTTTGTCTAAATCTGGAACACCACTTGGAACACATATAAACTTGCCCTTGTTTATTTTTCCAATGTTAAGTTAGCGTTTTTCTTGCTTTTATGAGAAATAGAAGCGTTTTTTAACGCTTTAAAATTACTGACAGAATAACATCTTCAGTTTTGTGCTGTGGTAGTAGGAGGTGATACATTAAGACAAGCAGCTCCACAATAAAATCAAAATAATATATACATAATACATATAATCTCAACAATGTTTTTAGCTTTTATTTTCATATTATTATAATATCCTGTATGACTATATTAGTGAAGCATGACATTCCTTTTCATGAAAAAGGGCACACTCAGCTCTATCTGTAACTTCAATGTGATCAGGCTCCCTACTTTCCAAAAGACTACCTCCTGAAATTATGCAGGTGCTCAGACCTTTTACAGGGTCAGAGTCAAGTAGTTTGGCTGTTTGGAGGAAATAAAACAGCCTAGCTATTAATTGTGAGTGCTTTCAATGATCTTGTTTAATTAGTTTTCCAGTCAGGAGGAGCAGATTCCCAGGTTCTTTTCCCAATGTGTATCTTCAGTGCCATGCAACTCCTGTTTCATGGGATTACTTGAGGTCTGAAACCACAAATTCCACATGGTCAAAGTTCCTCTGTTCTCACTGCCCAGTTAAGGCCAAGCAAAAGCCATCTTCAGGATTCCCATAGTCCTGGTAGGTTGCTGGTACGCTGCTGCTCCTTTGAGCTCTCCCTCATTTAGTATTAGTTTGTCAATCAAATTGCTTGCCTTCCTTTGCTCCCCTAAAATATACAGTGTTACCTACTTGAATTGTCTGGATCCAAGTAAAAATCATTAGTGTCAAATATTTAAAAATCCTTCTATAGACACAAAAAAGAAATTAACTCCTACCCCAGAGCAGTAGAAAGAGCACTCTCCTAAGCTTTCATTTCTCCTTACAGCACCATTTGGTTTGGAAATTTGCTCTTTTCCTGTTGTGTGTCTTAATCCCCACATGCTATTACACTTTATTTTACCTCCTTCTTTCCATTTTGCAGTGTATCTTCAACTGATCCTCTGTGATTAAATCTCCCCCAAAGAATTCAGTTGCATCTATTTTTGACAACTTGTAATGCTACCTTAAAGAAAAATCTCTTAAGAAATAAGAGAATAGGAAATTTCACTGTGTAGATGCCAACAGGAGGGAGATTCTGACATTTCTATTTGTGTTCCAAGATGCCACAACTCCTTGGAAAGCCCCACCAAAACTGAATAGAGCAGAGAGCTCATTGACCCATCTGCTGCTTTGGATGGATGGCTCCCCATAATCCCCACAGGTTTCATTAAAGTTACCACAGTTAATCCTTTAAGAAAATATCAGACTGTGACAATATTTAACAAGCAGACAACTGCTTATTTCCCATAAAACACATGACAATAGGACTTCAATTTTAGAAATTAACCCCAGTTTTTCTCACTGTGTAGAACAGGAAGACTGATACATCATACACTGACTCCCTCACTATTTAGAGGAAGACAATACAAAATAGTAGAAATACACAATCCACACTGGATATTTCATGCACTGTGTGTAATCCTGAACGCTTTGCACACACCTTATACTGCCTGTATTGCCCAGATAGAGACAACTGCACACAGGATGAACAAACCAAAACAAGCTCCATGATTTCACAGGGTGGGGGCACAGAATGAAACCTTACTAGTTATGTTCTCTCTAGAGGTTGTTTCACCTAGACAACACACATGTAAAATATTGTTACATACTGCAAACATGAGTGAGACATTACCAGGAGTTAAATTCATCCCAGACATTGGCAGAAGTTATGGATGAAAATACCTGCTAGTTATGGAGTAAAAAAACCCCAAACAAATTAAATCTGTACAAAAAGAAAAAATAAACAAACAAACAAAAAAAATATATGAATGCTCTTAGCTGACACTAATTATATTACACCTAGGAGTTCAAACATCTTACAAGCCATTTAAAAATAATATACCAGGAATGAAGGCACTTCATATAGAAATAATGTGATTGACACTAAATTTAATATGCTATATTCTCATAGCATTCATATTAGGTATAGAATCTCAGCATATTTCATAGATAGACAAAATTTATTAGAATTTATGGAAGTCTTAAGTGAACTTCTTCATATTAACAGTGATAATATACATAATGATATTACTGGAGCATTGCTATAATACCCATTTTGAACAAATATTTAAATTGCTAGTTAGCATTTTCTCAATATAGTGACAGTGTTTTCACAAGTTAAATAATGGTCATTTATTTATAAATACAATAAATCAGTGATTTAGCAGGGGGTATGCCACTAGTGAGGTACAACAAATTCATGAAAGTTTGGATGTTTAAAATCATGCTTCTCCAAAAAAAACCTCAAAACTAAAGCTCTTCAATGAAATCTAGGCTGGCAGGACACAAATATTCCTGAAGCATTTGGTGATACATTTGTGTTGCAGCACAGGTATACTATAAACACTGTGACTGTGTTTTCTCTGCTGAAGGGAAAGAGCATAGGACAGGTAGAGCAAGTTGTCTTAAAGTCACTGACCATGAGTTTTCCACTTTTGAAACAAAGCTGGAAATGACATCAACTAAATGAAAGGACTTCCACTTTTTCCGCCTGCTGTGGCCAGGTGTCTGGTCTTCAGTATGGCTGAAAAAAGTATTAATCCAAGAAACAGGGGGGATTCAAGCTTAATTAGAATAACTCTATGTGTTGTATACATCACAGATGTCCTCAGTATGGGCCACAGAGGGTACCACTTCATTTTTGGGTTACCATGACTTTTGGAATTTCTGCAGCTTTACAGACTCATTAGGGGAAAGCAGAAAAGTCTCCCATTAATTAAGCCACAAAGAACATTTTGTTTGATATGGTGTTAGCACAGGAGATCAGAATTTGCACATTAAGAACACACATAAATCACATTAATGTCCACATACGTACCATCCAAAATAATGTCCCTGTAGCAAGGGCTGCATACTGCTCAATTGTAGAAAGCACGCTGAAGATAAGGCATATCAGTACAATAAGGAAGCTGCAAATAAAAAGAAATTAAAAAATTAAAATAATACAATGCAGTGTAATAACCTATAGGGACAATAGATAATTATGCCACCACAAATCATCCATTTACTCTGAAATGTCATTGGTATTGTATAATAACGGTATATTTTGCATGATCCTGCTTCCTTTTGGATAGTTTATTTCTCTTCAGACACTGAGGTTTCAGGTTAGACATTATCAAAAATGAAACCATATGGTAACACTAGCTTTAGCCTACCTCTAAGATTTGTTGTTTCCTGGCCCCTCATGAAAAGAGCATTCCTTGCTCTTTCCCATTTTAAGGACTACCTTGGCTGAATCACCACACAACCCCCAAACATGTTTCAAATATTTGCCTTTTTGCTGATCCAAAGCCCAATAAACTGAAAAATAAATAAGTAAAATAAAAATAAAGTAAAAGAAAAAATCACAGCTAAGCCGAAGTTTAATAGGCTGTGCTATACTGTCTTTGATAATTCATCCCTAAAAGGCTCCAAATAAATAAAGGCTGACATTTGGCATTTGAAATACAACCTAGGTCTGATTCCACCTAATTCCAAGCCCCTGCCATGGGCAGAGTCACCTATCCCTAAAACAGGTTGATTTGAGCCCCACCCAGCCCGGCCTCAAACACTTCCACTCAAACACGTCCTTAGGGAAGTGGTCCTAAGGCTTCCACCATAAGATTTGGGACAGCCAGGGAAACAGCCCAGCTGTCTGTAACCTCCCAGAAATCCTCTTTCCCCACCCAGGCAGCAAGGCTTCTCAGCTATGCAGCTTCTGCCTCCAAATCCTTACCTGAGCAGCTTCAGCTGTGCCCACCACGGGACTGCTGCTTCCCCTACAGGAACATAACACATTTGGGAAGAAAACCCTTTAACACCCAAATTGGATGCTATCCACTACACATTAGCCGTAGACAGCTTCCAGTTCCCAAAGAAACGCGTTTTTCTTTTAAAAACACAACATGAGAGATCAGCAAGACTGAAAACATCAACTTGTTAATCACAAAGTTGGTTGTTAGGGCTGTTTCTCACAATTCTGTTGAGAAAAGCAGCACCAATCCTTTGTACTCAACTGAAACCAGCTGCAAAATCCAGTAACTAAATCACCCATCCTGTTAGACATCTCTAAAAGAGTTAACCATTCTTTTTAACTCAAAAAAACCCTCAACAAAAAAGAATTGACATAATGAATAAAACTGAACTCGAGAGAAGTATTAAACCAGGACACCAGACTGGCATAGCTCAGCTGAAGTCATCCAGAGCCTCTACCATTATTCATAGAAGTGAGCACTCTGGGTGAATCTTTTCAAAGACCAAGCACTCAAGAAAACAAAACCATGTTAAGGTTGACATAAGCTACATCCCTCAATGATTGCTTCAAGAAACAGCATATGCAAGTCCAAAGCACACACAGAAAAATGATGCCAGAATCACAGAACCATTAAGGCTGGAAAAGACCTCTCAGACCAAATCTGACCTTTGAGATTATCGTGTCCAGACTTTGAGATTGTGCTACCAAATAGTGGAGAGAAAGTTTGTAGGTAATTAGGCACAAAAATCAAATAGATAATGTAATTAATAGGGTAGAGATTATCACAATACAAGAACACATATAAAAATATATTTTACCTAAGCAAAATATAAGTATGGGGGTGTCTGATTCGTCTCTAAAGTCTTCTCATTTTACCCTGTATTTCTACCTTTGGGCATTCTTAGCACAAGTAAGATGTGCAGACAAGGCAGTAGGATGCAAAGGTGAGTCACTCATTTGAAATGTAAGATAAAAGTTCCCTAAGTATCCAGCCCCTCTGTCTGCAATATTCTCACGACTGCCTAAGAACAATACACGTGACAATGTGAATATAAATGGGGTCAGTTGCACAGAGACAGCTGAGGCTCTCCGGATTCAAAGTCCAACATACACAGAACTACGAGTTCAAAGCAATGAGTTGCAAGGGATGAGCAGTACCAATTCACACTTACTACATCCCTTAATAGCAGTAGGCAGACTAGAATGTTTAACTCACGTTAAACATGTGTTTAACAACTCACGAAACCACAAGGGGGCAACAAAGCAAAGACTATCCCGTTTCTGTCCTTTTCCTAAACAAACACAAAACCGTAATAAGCATTAAAGTTGAAAGTTCATGTGCCGAAGAGACAAACAGATAAACTTCGAGTCAATCGTTTGCCAAATCTCTTTGCTTGTTCCTATTAGAGAAACTGATGGCCGAGGTAAGAACTGCATCAAGTGTCAGTCACCCCACTACCAACCTACTTTTATGGGTTTTCATTAACATGGACCCATTTCAGTCTTAGAAATATTTTTTTTTCCACCCCCAGAAAAGTTCTTGCAATTCTCTGCTGTGCTCTTTCCAGGCTGATGCGTGAGACACCTTCATAACCACAAATACACATTATGCCAAGCAAACCTAAGATGCTCGGTCAGGCACTGCTGCTTCACGTCTGTTTCCTTGGCATGAGAGAGATGACACCCACAAGGTGCCAGTGCAGCACCACAGCTGAGCCACTCACCCTGTTACACTGACATTGCAATTTTGCTTAGATCAAATGCACATAAGGAACAGAAGGTGCAAAATTAAGACATTAAACAGATACACATGGTGTTCTCTTCTGGTACGAGCCTACTGTTTGTTGCCTTCCAAAACTCAGCTTTGTTTTTGTTTTGGTATTAGTGTCTCCCTTCTCCACCTCTGAAGAATAAGAAGGGAGCGAGGCACCAGTAAAATAGAAAGCAGGAAGTTTGGCTTTTTTTTTCCCCCCCTCTTTTTTGACAGTTATCTCCTCTTTCTTCAGCCACAAGTAGAACACAGATCCTCAGTGACTGCCTAGGCAGCAAAGTCCACAGGAGATAGTTACAAACAACAGTTGCAGGGATAGACTCTGCCTCAAACTTGAATTTGCTTATGCAAAAAATCATCCTGGGGCAATTTAACTGGCCAGCCTCAAAAAAGCAAACATTACAATTTTCACAAAATAACCTTATCACTCTTACGATCACTTTATTGTAATTGCTATTACTAGATTAAAAAAAGAAATTAAAAAAGCTTGTCTTGATACAGATGCTAAACACATAAACTCTTCATCTAATCAGTAAATATCAGACAAACTAATGGGCAACTGACTCCACTCTGGTACAGTTTTTTAATATACATTTTTCCTTTAAAGGAGAGATAGTCAGCAAACACTGGAATTTCCTAAACTCTAGCAGTCAGACAGGGCTTCATCTCTTGCAAACCACGAGTTTTTATCTCCTATCTCCTGAAACCCGCTGCTTGTTTACCCTTTATGCGTAAACGTGACTGTGTTCAGAACGGAAGCAGAGTGATGAGTTCAGGCTCTCGTCAGCTCTGATCTCACTCTGTGATTGTGGGGCCAAGCAAGCATTAGAGATGAGGAGATAGCCTGCAAAGGTTTTCATGCTGTCTCTCCCGGGTTACAAAGTAGCATCTGCTTGCATGTAGATAAGCCACATCTACTGCATCAGCAGATCCATTCTGAAATACTTAGCTTTGTGGTGAAATCACATCTAAGAGTGCTATGGTTCTTTTAAACCAAGAGTTCTGCAAGTGGCTGATCATCTCTGTACTTCTTGGTGTGAAACCACAGCACCACTGTTAAAGCAGCGTGGACATTGCAAAGCGGCAGATGTTTTCTTTCATGGACTCAGGTTTTGGTAGACTAGTACAAGTGTCCTCTCAGACAGAGCTGTTTTACTCTAAGCCAGTTTCTCCGGTTGTCTTTTCAACTCAGTTTTCCCAGGCAGCTGCATACGTGGTGGAGCCAGACCCAGAGGTGGAGCTCTCAGTGTGCATGAAGCAGCACCAGGACACAGCACTCGGGTCTCACTTGGAGCTCACCGACACTCCAAGCCTGTAACTGGACTCGTGTCTGTGCTACACCACCCTCCAAAAGGAAAGCATGAACACAGACACTGTGGATAGAGTTACACGAGGCACTGCCTGCGTGGGTGTGCGGATGTGGGCAAACATTTAGTAAATTATAAATTTTGTCTTGCTTTGTTTTGTCAGTCAGACAATTTAGGTAATCTTTTGTCTCGAACAGGTCTGAGAAGCTAGAGCATTTCCACAAAACAACCATTCAGCAGACAAGGGAACACAGCCAGCCAGCATATGTGCTGTACTTAGCAACAGATAGGAAACATATTGAGAGCTAAAGGTAGATTTAATGTTTTCTGACTATTTTAGGATATATTTTGACTTACTGACAGACCTATGCCTTTTTCCCTGACCTCAGTGTCAGCTGCAGGAACTTGACATATTATAGGTTGCTATCAGTACTGTGCAGCCTTCAGCCCTGAGCTGCTGAGTTTTTTCTATATTTAACTATGATTTTTGAACATTAGCATGTCTTTTTTGTGGCTTGAAACAATGTGTGGAATGATCAAAGGAACAATAAACCACTTACCGAGAGATAACAATGCTCATTTAGTGAATGTCACAGGTAGGAGAACTGATAAAGGCTTATAAAATATGTCCAGTGATATGACCAGAAACATTTGAAAAAACAGTGCATGAGACAGGCTGGAAGTACTTACTCACCAGATTAATACAGTCTCATGCACATGCAGCTGTTATCATCAAAACCAGTACTGAAATGTGGGTAGATTTCATTCCTTCTTGCAGTGTTTCTTACATACTCCTACTGTGAGTCTTTCCATAATCCAGGAAAATGTTGCCATTGGGCTACAAACTGAGCTGCAACCTTAAATACACTTAATGGATGAGAAGGGACATGCAAAGTTCAGCTCAATTTATATCAACTTGAGCTCTAACCATCCAGGAAGACAGGCAGTTTTTCCTTGTTCAGTGTCATGAGCTGCCTTAAGTCTGGTTTTTCTAACCATTTTTATTCATTATAGCTATCAGTCTTGAAGATATCCAGCTACTGGTGCCCTTGCATAGAGGGAATATTATTTTAGCTGATAACTGCCAGCTAAAAAGCA